CCTTCTGCCTCAGCCTTCCAAGTAGCTGGAACTACAGGTGCACACTACCATGCCCAGCTAATTTTTGATTTATTGTAGAGACGAGGTCTCACCTAGTTGCCCAGATGGGTCTCGAACCTGCAGCCTCAGGCAATCTACTCACCTTAGCTTCCCAAAGTGCTGGGATTACAGGCTGAGCCACCGAGCCTGGCATGGGCTTCATTTTTAATATTGTCTTGTCCTTTCTTAAAACAAGTTATCCATATGTAAAACACTTATTTCTTTGGAGCACTGTCTCCATAAACTTTTCATAAAGCATCAGTGATTTTACCATTCTTTCACCCAAGCTTCATCATAAATTTGATGTTTGGTCTTGGTTCAATTTTAACAGAATTCATGATACTCTGATAGGGGTTCTTTTTAAATTGATGTCTTATCCTTTTTAATGCCTCAATCTAGATCCCATTCAGACATATTATAACAAGTTAGTACAAGTTTATTTTGGTGTGAAAAATTTTGAACCCCATAAATAGTTTTTTCATAGTATGCATTTTCTATAAACATTTAAAAATGTTTTTTGTAGAGACAGGGCCTCGCTATGTTGTCCAGGGTAGTCTCAAACTCCTAGGCTCAAGGGATCCCCCCACCTTGGCTTCTCAAAGTGCTGGGATTAGAGGTACAAGCCACTGTGCCTGGACTTTTTTTTTTTTTGAGTTGGAGTCTCACTTGGTCGCCCAGACTGGAGTGCAGTGGCCGCTCCCGGCCACCGCAGCCTTGCCTGCTGGGTGCCGGCGATCCTTCAGCCTCAGCCTTCCGAGTAGCCGGAATCACAGGCGCGCGCTACCACGCCCGGCTGATTTTTTGATTTATTGTAGAGATGAGGTCTCGCTGCCCAGGGTGGTCTCGAACTCGCGGACTCAGGCAATCTACTCACCTCAGCCTTCCAAAGGCGCGGGATTACTGGCTGAGCCACCAAGCCCGGCTGCCTGGGCTTTTTAAATGAATTTTGTTGTTGTTGTTTGTCTTTGACAAACTCTTGTTCTGTTGCCCAGGCTGGAGTACAGTAGTGTGATCATAGCTCACTGTAACCTCAAATTCCTGGGCTCAAGTGATTCTCTTGCCTCAGCCTCCCAAAGTGCTGGGATTGCAGGTGTGAGCCACTGTGCCTGGATGTTTTCCGTGAACTTTTGAAGATCCCTCATATTTGTTTCATGTAACTGAATTCTGTCTTGCTTTTGCTTAAAAAGGGGTTTCCCTGCTTTAAAAAGGGAAAATAAAGTTTGAAATAAATTTCTGGTTATTTTATTTTATGTTGAAAAAATTTTTTAAAAGGTGTGGAGTATACAATTCAGGGATAGGTATATAAATGTTCATTATGCTGGTACCCTTGTTGATGAGGTGTGCTCCCACCTCCCCTAGCAGTTTCCCACTACTGCCAATCCCATTCCCTGCCCACCAGCAGTTTCCAACCTCTGCCAATCCCTTTCTTATAGTATTATGATGATTGTTCAAGATCTGAGTGAGAACATATTATACTCAGTTCTTTGTTTCTATGATAGATCACTCAGTATTATAGACTCTAAGTCTATCCAAGTTACTGTGAAGTTCATAATTTTGTCCTTTATGGCTGCATAATATTCCATTGTGTATATATACCACTTTTTTTATCCAATCCTTTTTCAATGGGCAGCACAGCTGGTTCCAAGTTTTTGCTATTGTGAACAATGCTGCAATAAACATATGTGTGCAGGTTTCTTTTTCATAGAGTGATTTGACTTCCTCCTGGTATATTCCCAGAAGGGGGATTGTGGGGTCATATGGAAGGTTGATTTTTAGGTCTTTCAGGAATTGCCAAACTGTTTTCTACAGAGGAATTTCTGGAAATTTTAAAAGAGACTATCCTTCTTTACCCTAAATATCAACTACAGGGTCTCTCTGTTTTTTGAGATCTAGAAGAGATGGCTTAAAGTCCCCACTTCATGCTGCTTGGAAATCCAAAGTCCTCCCCAAGATATCTGTGAGTTCCCAGGAGGGTCTTGTTCTCCTGGTCACTCCTGCTTCTGGGCTCCGCTGTGTCTGCAGAATGTATCATTCCAGATTGTTTTTTCCTTTCTTAGGTGGGGTTGTTGTAGTCTTTTTAGACTCTGCTGCCAAACTCTGCCCCAGGTACACCTAGCATTTCTTTTTTTATTTTTATTTTTGAGTTGAGGGTCTCACTAGGTCTTACAGGCTGGAGTGCAGTGGCACGCTCATGCAGCCTTGACCTGCTAGGCTCAGTCTTCAGTCTCCCTTCATTCAAGCGAATCACTTGAAAGTCAGGTGTGGTAGCTCAAGCACCTGACTCCAACACACACAAAAAAACAAAAACAAGAGCCAGGCTCGGTGGCTCAGCCTGTAATCCCACACCTTTGGGAGGCTGAGGTGAGTGGATTGCCTGAGCCTGCGGGTTCAAGACTCACCTGGGCAGCGAGACCTCATCTCTACAATAAATCAAAAAATCAGCCGGGCGTGGTAGCGCATGCCTGTAATTCCAGCTACTTGGAAGGCTGAGGTGGAAGGATCATTGGAGCCCAGCAGGTTGAGGCTGCGGTGGCCGGGAGTGGCTACTGCATTCCAATCTGGGTGACAGAGTGAGACTCCAACTCAAAAACAAACAAACAAAAAGCAAAAACAAAACAAAACAACTTGAAGATAAATCAATAGAAATCTATTGAACAGTGAGAAAAAAGAATGAAGAAAAATAGCATCTCAGAGAAATGTAGGGTATCAGTAAGTGCTCTCACATGCATGTAAGGGGACTCTCATAATGACAGGAAATGGCCAGGTACAGTGGCATCACACCTGTAATCTCAGCACTTTGGGAGGCTGAAGCTGGAGGATTGCTTGGGGCCAGCTTGGGCAACATAATGATAATCTGTCTTTACCAAAAGTAAATTTAAAAAATCAGCCAGACATGGTAGTTACACACCTGTGTTCCCAGCTACTCGGGAGGCTGAGGTGGGTTAATTGCTTGAGTTGGAGATTACAGTGAGCTATGATTGCACCACTGAACTCCATCCTAGGCAACAAAATGAGATACTGCCACAAAAAAAAGAGGTACAAAAGATTAGAAAAAATGTACAAAAAAGGCCGAAGACTTCCAAATTTCATAAAAAGAACATTAATTTACATTTCCAGGAAGCTCAAGTAGGATAAAAGCAGAGATCAGAATCCAGACACATCATAATCAAAATGTTGAAAGACAAGGACAAAAAGAACATCTTGAAAACAGCAAGAGTATGTACAAAGGAACTCCAGTAAGATCATGGTTGACTTTTAGTCAGAAACAATGGAGGCCAGAGGCAGTAGGATGGCTTGTTTAAATATTAAGGGGAAAAAAAACTGTCAACCAAGACTCATATATCCAGAAAAGCTATTTTACAAAAAATGAGGGTGATTTAGGCACAGTGGTGCACACCTGTTGTCTCAGTTACTCAGGAGGCTGAGGTGGGAGGATCACTTGAGTTCAGGAATTCAAGGCCAGCCCAGGCAACATAGGAAGACTCTGTCTCTAAAAAATTAAAAATAAGCATGTAAATTTTAAAAATGAAGATGCAATAAGCAAGTAAGCAAGAACTGAGAGAATGTATTGCTAGCAGAACTGATTTACAAGAAATACCACTTGAAAATAAGTGACACCAGGCAGTAATTTGGTCTATATGAAAATCAGAGAGCACCAGCAAAGATAATTAAGTATGTAATTACAAAGGAGTATAATTGCATATTTCTTCTCCTGATTGATTTTAAAAGCAATCGCATAAAACATTATACATATAATTGTGTCATTGGGGCTATAATAGGCAAAAATGTAATATATTTGTCAATAGTAGCACAAAAGAGAATCAGTGTAAGGACTTCCTGAATTACTGAATCATTAGATGCTCATTAAAAATGTGGACACCATAGCTGCCTTGTCTTATTACTGATTTCATGAGAAATGTGAAAACACTTAAAAGGAAAAAGTATGACTGAAGTTAGAAATCTGGGTTGGATCCTCGCTTTGAGCCACTTGTAGCAGTTGCTTAATTAGCTAACTAACTTAGTTAACTAACTTAACTTAGTTAAGCTGTTGGCTTCTCGGAGTCTCAGTTTCTTAATTTATCTAATGCAGTTAGTGCAATATCTGACCTAACTGCTGTGTCCTATTTATGTCTTTGAAGTGGCCTGGCATGTGGGGATGTATTGACAGAGCTGGTGGGTTCCCAGGCATGTGAGAATGTCCCGCTTGTACTTCACGCTTCAGCCTGCCATTTCATGTCCTTCTGAGTCCTGCTCCCAAGCAGCCCCCTCCCCCACCACCCAAGGGCCATCCAATTTTCATTCTCACAGTTCCCCCACGGTAGAAATGATCCTTTCCTAAGCTCCTATGATCCTTCATCAGCCCTTCGTTAACTGACTTATTACAGGTCTTCCTAAAGTAATTTGTTTTCATGAACTGTCTTCTCTTTCAGACTGGGTCTGCCGAAGGGAGGGAAGAAGGCTCCTGTGTCTTCCATTTCTGTCCTGTCTTTGCAGACACTAAATACAGGTGAATGACTGAATGCATTCAATCAACATCAAGTCTCAGATAGTCCTACAGTAACTATTTCTCCCTCCTGCCCATAAAATAATATTTTGTTTCAAAGATGTTGGCTAGGGCATATTCTGGTTTTATCAAGAGTTCTTGGCTGGAAGTGGTGTCTCACACCTGTAATCCCAGCACTTTGGGAGGCCAAGGTGGGATGATAGCTTGAGCCCAGGAGTTCAAGACCAGCCTAGGCAACATAGCGAGACCCCATCTCTACAAAAGTAAAAATAAAAATATTAGCAGGTGTGGTTGCACATACCTGTAATCCCAGCTACTAAGGAAGCTGAAGTGGAAGGACCACCTGAAACCAGGAGGTAGAGACCAGTGAGCATTGATCGTGACACTGCCCTCTAGCCTGGGTGACAGTGAGACGCCCCAACTAAAAAAAAAAAAGGCATTCTTGCAAATCACAGGTTTGTACTTCCACTTCGAGATTGAGGGAGGGAAGAGGAATTCTGTAAAGTCCGTGAAAAATATTAACTGTCTAAAAAACGTATAAACAGATGTATTAACATGGTATTTTTCTTACTTTTGAGGCCCTGAATTTTTTAGTTCCTCCTTCTCCTTCTTTCTATGTTATTTTGATTTCCAAATTTCTTTTCTTTTCTTTTTTTTTTTTTTGAGTTGGAGTCTCACTCTGTCGCCCAGACT